CCCCCCCGAGATAGGTCTCTAGATCCGCCACTTGAGTTAGTAGTAGTGAATTTGCTAAACTATTCCTATTTTCTAAGATCTGATGATTTCATCTGAAAGAACAGCTCAAAAGATGCCCTTGAAAGGTACTATTTCCCCTAGGGTTAACATGCACACATTTTATTGATGCTTTTAGTTCTGAGCACCCGTTATCTCCCATGTGAAAGTTTTTAAAAAAAGTTGGCCAGTATGATTTTGCTCATAATCATTTGATTTCTTACATACTCCGTTTGATATATTTTGCTGAATTTGATATATATATATATTTTATTTTGTAATGAATTAATGTTTCTTAATAAAATGAGTGTTTTGTACAGGCCAGCCAAAGACGTATATATATATTATGTAATTACTTCTTTGTCTCATATATTATGTAATATATACTTCTCTGGACCAGCCAAGTGGTGTTCGCTTACAATGATACAAACATTTGTTAATTTTAAAGGATTTATCGCTCAAATGTCTTGGAAACGCCATACTAGATCGAAATGTACGTTTATTTTGTTTTTTTTACTAAACTCTACCAACAAATGATTCAATTGTTAACAGGGACAGAAACAGTTAATTATTGTTTGTAATTCCATTTTTTATAATCTACATTTTCCCCGTCTGATATCATTTAAAACATACAATGGATTTAGATACTTCCAAGCAATGCTAGCATTGTTTCTTTCTTTCTTTCTTTAACGACCTATCGACAACTATGGTCATTTAGGACCAGAACAATATTTTACAATGGGGCAACCATTTGAGAAATCAAAATTTAAATCATATAAAGCTTCGTATATCTTATAAAATCAACAGCTGGATATAGGCTTAGAGAGCTAAAACAGTACAATGAAAATGAAGTCAATTATAACGAATGTATCTGCTAGCATTGTTAAGATAAAAACTCCAGTCACAAAGTTAACAACTTAACAGTTTATCAGGAATGAAAATTGTGGTCATATTTTACCGGAAAAGGCGATAAAATTTCTATCAAAAAGAGAGAAAAAAAGAAGAAAAACGAATATTTTAAATTACTTTCGGAACTTTACTAAGGCTTGAATGATTATAAAATTATTCAAACGTTCCGAAGAAAGGTATTTTAAACAAACATCGAGGTTTCTGTCAATTTAACAATTAAATTAATAAGTGCAAAAAAAAGAGAGAGAAAAAAATGTATTTCTTAAACAAAATATGCTAAAAGATCTTCATTACAAGCCTTGTACAAGTCTTTATCCCATGAAACTAGCTGAATAGCTATCAATTTCGCAATTTNCCCCCCTCCAAAAAAAAGGATACAAAATATAATTATAAAAATCCATTTAAAAGCAATAATAATCAGGTTGTATTCAATCATTTATTTTGTCACCCTCGAGTCGACCTCAAAGATCTCTTTTACAATGAAAATAAACATATCTACTTGTTCTCTACCAGATCTATGGTAAGAGGCACGAGGAATTAAACATTCATGCATTTTATAATATCTAAGATTGGTCTTGCTACTTTTTCATAAACCCCGTTAACGTCATTATATGATTATATACTTCACGAATTGGCAACTGTCTAATAAGACTGGAAAAGAAAGAAGACTAAGGCCGATTGTCATACGATAGTTTTGCCATGCTTAAACGTCCTATAACACAATCTGCAAAACCATCTCCATATCTAGGATACTCGTCCCCGATCTTCTTTCCTCGCAATTTCTCTCCCTCTCTGTCCCATCCGCCTCTCCTCATACTGTCATTTTAACCCCAATTCCGCCCGCCTCTCTCATCAATTTCTTTCCCTCTTTGTCCCGTCAGCCTCTCCATTCCGCCCGCCTCTCTCATCAATGTCTCTCCCTTTTTGTCTCGTCCGCCTCTCTCATCAATGTCTCTCTCTTTTTGTCTCGTCCGCCTCTCTCATCAATGTCTCTCCCTTTCTGTCTCTTCCGCTTCTCTCATCAATGTCTCTCCATTTCTGTCTCTTCCGCTTCTCTTATCAATGTCTCTCCCTTTCTGTCTTTTCCGCTTCTCTTATCCATGTCTCTCCCTTTCTGTCTTTTCCGCTTCTCTCATCAATGTCTCCCCCTTTCTGTCTCTTCCGCTTCTCTCATCGATGTCTCTCCCGTTTTTTCTCTTCTGCTTCTCTTATCAATGCCTCTCACTTTCTGTCTCTTCCGCTTCTCTCATCAATGCCTCTCCCTTTCTGTCTCTTCCGCTTCTCTGATCAATGTGTCCTCCTTTTTGTCTCGCCCGCCTCTCTCGTTAATGCCTCTCCCTTTCTGTCTCTTCCGTTTCTCTCGTCAATGCCTCTCCCTTTCTGTCTCTTCCGCTTCTCTCATCAATGTCTCTTCCCGTCTGTCTCTTCCGTTTCTCTCGTCAATGTCTTTCCCTTTCGGTCTCTTCCGCTTCTCTTCATAATGTCAATTACCCCCAATTCCGTCCGTCAATATCTCTCCCCTCCTCTCTCTCCGGGACTATCCTCAATGACTTTCTCTTCTTCCACCAAGTCCACCCCTATCCACAATGTCTCTCGACTCCAACCGCCCGCCTCTCCACCCTCCATTTTTCCCTCTGGTTGTCCACCACACGGACAGGTCCAATCAGAATTGTTGTCCACCACAAGGACAAGTCCACTCAGAGATGTTGTCAACCACACGGACAGGTCCACTCAGAGATGTTGTCCACCACACGGACAGGTCCACTCAGAATTGTTGTCCACCACAAGGACAAGTCCACTCAGAGATGTTGTCCACCACACGGACAGGTCCACTCAGAATTGTTGTCCACCACAAGGACAAGTCCCCTCAGAGATGTTGTCCACCACACGGACAGGCCCACTCAGAGATGATGTCCACCACACGGACAGGTCCTCTCAGAGATGTTGTCCACCACACGGACAGGTCCTCTCAAAGATGATGTCCACCACACGGACAGCTCCACTCAGAGATGTTGTCCAACACACGGACAGGTCCACTCAGAGAAGTTGTCCACCACACGGACAGGTCCACTCAGAAATGTTGTCCACCACAAGGACAAGTCCACTCAGAGATGTTGTCCCCCACACGGACAGGTCCACTCAGAATTGTTGTCCACCACAAGGACAAGTCCACTCAGAGATGATGTCCACCACACGGACAGGTCCTCTCAGAGATGATGTCCACCACACGGACAGGTCCTCTCAGAGATGTTGTCCACCACACGGACAGGTCAACTCAGAGATGTTGTCCACCACACGCACAGGTCCCCTCAGAGATGTTGTCCACCACACGGACAGGCCCACTCAGAGATGATGTCCACCACACGGACAGGTCCTCTCAGAGATGTTGTCCACCACACGGACAGGTCCTCTCAGAGATGTTGTCCACCACACGGACAGGTCCTCTCAAAGATGATGTCCTCCACACGGACAGCTCCACTCAGAGATGTTGTCCCCCACACGGACAGGTCCACTCAGAGATGTTGTCCCCCACACGGACAGGTCCTCTCAAAGATGATGTCCACCACACGGACAGCTCCACTCAGAGATGTTGTCCAACACACGGACAGGTCCACTCAGAGAAGTTGTCCACCACACGGACAGGTCCACTCAGAGATGTTGTCCACCACCCGGACAGGTCACATGTGGATACGGTATCAAATCAGAGGTGTACCTACAGAACTGATTAACATAGCCTGTAATATCTACCAAGTTGTTTAGCTACTTATACCTAATACGTTTTGATACTGTATACTATATATAGTGTAGTAAAATGTAGGCTAAGCCTGGCAAAATTTATCGTTGTGGCCAAGTTCGAACTAATTAAAGAAAACCGTACAGAATAGCTATGTATATTATTTTTATCTCCCGTTTAGCAAAGTCAACGCACTTAACGCTACCATTAACGATTTTCTTAGGTTTTTAAGGAGGTTTCGAAAACAGGTTTATGGGTCCACATTCCTTATATGGATCCAAAGATGTCGTGGTATCATCTTGAGAGAATATTAGAAAATCCGACTTTTTCATACATGTACATTTATGTAAAGAACGCGGATGAAAATATCCACTCCAGGGGATCATAAATTGTCTCAGCCGAGAGTTTCTATCCAATTTATAGTGTAATTCTAAAGTATTAAATGTTATTCTTAAATGAAATGCATGTAATATGGGAGATAACACATAAATCACAGATAACATATATAACGTGTTAGGTAGCATATACCCTTAAGGTAAATGTGGTGCGTCTAACTACAGACAGATCTTTGGGCCATACGGTTTTATCCAATATCATTGTGCAGGATCTAAGACAGAATACGTTGGCCCGCCATAGTCAGTATCTAGAACACTTATTGCACTGGTTATATTAAGGTCGAATGAGTGTATTGATAAACGGAAATAGGAGGTACATCCCTAGTTGAAAATCCGATGTAGGGAGACAGTATCACAATTTCCGCATATTCTAATGAGTCTAGAGTTGTGATGCATATTATATGTTTATCATTGACAGAACAGCGTGTTCTCTCAATATTAAAGTATTTCAAAGCAATCCAGGCATTAATTGAGTTGGTTTTTTATCAATGAGTCATATGTGTCCATTTTTCTGTACTTCAGGAAACCGGCTACCTATTTCACTACTGTGAAGTTTTTCAAGAAAGATAACTCTTACATGCAATTACTATGTGTATATGGTTTTATTATAAAATGTTATTTTTTAATGGTGACACAAACCTATTACCTTAAAACACGTCAGTCAGAGACAAAAGAAGGGAAAGTATCCAAACATGACCCGACCGGATGCACCGGATGACCCTTCGTTTTAAGACTACACTTAAACTGTTCGAAATTGTGATTTCTTTCTCTAAATAACTTAGATGATCATTGGCTAATTTTGACGCCGAATACAGTTTTCTATGTATAGACTTTAGTTTTAACTGTGTCCCTTCCTTTTAGTAAGTTACAAACATGTATGTTAGACCGCAGGCAAATGAATACGGACCTCAAGTCTTCGTGTAGTAGTCTGTATTTCCGCCTTTCGCACTGAAGACGTGCTAGAGTCTGATAAAGTGTAATGTAAGGCCTTTTAAAGAGGTTTGTGAGCTATGCAAAATGGAAATTCGTGGAAAATGAAAATGAATCTAAAAAACATGCATACACTCAATAATATTATTATGTCCGGGTTATTACATCTACGCGGGCGCGATTACGTGGGGTAATTACACGTCTGCATTCACTACAAGTGTGAGGTTATTACACGATGCGGACACTACATTATTATGTGGGGTTATTACACTATGTGGTCATACCACGTGTTGGGTTATTATAATATACGGATACTACACATGTGGGTTATTACACTAAACGGACACTACACGTGTGGGTTATTACATAATGCAGATTATTACACTAAACGGACACTACACGTGTGGGTTATTACACTATGTGATCATTACACGTGTTGGGTTATTATAATATATGAACACTACACGTGTTGGTTATTACACTAAACGGACACTAAACGTGCGGGTTATTACATTATAAAGACACTACAGTGTGAATTATTACAATATACGGACACTACACGTGTTGGGTTATTATAATATACGGACACTACACGTGTGGGTTATTACACTATGTGGTAGTAACACGTGTTGGGTTATTACACTATACGGACACTACACGTGTGGAATTAATATACGTACTACGGACACTGCACGTGTGGTGTTAATACACATATACGGACACTACACGTGTGAGTTATTACACTATACGGACACTACACATGTGTTGTTTATACAAGTATACGGACACTACCCGTATTTGGGCACCACGTATATGAAAAACAGTGTAGCTCAGATGATTGTGTTGAGTGTATTTGTTGTTTTTGATAGAACCAATTTTAGTTCATAAAACGACAAACAAGTCCACTCGTAAAAATGTTTTTATTTTCATTTTTGAAATACCTGTTTTTGGATATAGACTTTACAGATTACACAGATACACAGAGATACAGACTTCAAAGATTACACAGATACAAAGAGATACAGACTTCACAGATTACACAGATACACAGAGATACAGACTTCACAGATTACACAGATACACAGAGATACAGACTTCACACATTACACAGATACACAGAGATACAGACTTCACAGATTACACAGAGATACAGACTTCACAGATTACACAGACTTCGAGGATTTTCTTCTCTGTCCTCTGGTAGGGGACTGTGAACAAACTAAACCCGATTTATGACAAGTATCGGCGATCTATATCCTGTTCTACAGTATCACGCATACTTTCTGTTCCAATGTCGAGGTTGATGAATATTTCAGTTTGGTTATACTAATGGGTGTGATATATACGTACGACATCAATACTACCAGCGCTGAGCATACACGGATCCAACACAAGCGGGAACCAAGCCTTACATTAAAGTTTGTACATTACATAACACTGCCCAGAACAACATTGAAACATTGCAAAAAATCGGCGCATTTAATTATGATATGGTAATACATGCACATATTTGTATTCGTATTTCAGCGCAAAACCTCAACTCTGTAATGGTTGTTGGTGTAACATAAGTTTGTTGATAGATTTTGTTGTAAGAGTATGTTTTCCAATAAGAGACTTTTAAGCAGGAATTGTCATCCCACACACAGCATAGACACAATTAGCGTTGTTTCACTAAAACGAATTCCTATAGTTGTCAATAGTTTATTTATTTTTTATTAATTATCGTCATATCTTTTAATATTCTAGATCCTTAATATTTTATGTTTCTATATTATCGAATGTTTCAGAACAATTCAGAATAATTAGGTCTTTCAATATACCATTCTTCAAATTGAGTTTCATAGTAATAATATATAGACAGGTGTTCTCCCTTAGATTGATAAAGCAATAGATTAACCCATTCACCCCTGAAGACACATTTGAACTCTTCCAATTCAAAGGTTGGTATAGTTAATTACTAAATTTCAGGGGTGAATGAGTTAACATACTGATATATACTACGTACCTTACACATTATACCGATGCTACATGTTAGAATTAAGGACACGTACTATACAATGTATTACGTAATACACATGTTTTTATTTGCTACTTCCTTATACACTATAACTGTACTAAGAGTTAAGGACACGGCCTACCTACGGAGCCCCCGAAGGGACATGGTACCTACCGTACACATTATAGCACATATTTAGAAAGTTGGGTTCAAACAGCTTTTAGTCATTTATTTCGGAAATGATTGTCTTCATCAAGAAACTTCCACTTTAGCATGTCTTAAATTGCCGCATTGGTTAAGGTATCCGACCGTCTTGATCACTAGTACTCCATCATCGGGTCGCGGATTCGAGGCCTACGTGGGTCAGTCGCCAGGTACTGGCCGCAGGTCGGTGGTTTGGTTGGGTTTAATTTTGTTCAACGTCCTATTAACAGCTAAGGTCATTTAAGGTCATTGTGTCGCCATTTCTCTGTAGAATTCTTCAAATTTTGTAGTTATATTGCTTTGAAGTAATTTTTAAAGAACATTTTCTGCCACAAAAAAAGTATAGGTTGTCATAATTTTAAGGAATTCAAATGGAAATCTATGTAAAAAGGAGTGACTTTTGAAAAAAAAAATGAAAGACACATATTTTGGCAAAATAATGTCAATAAAAATGATACTGACATAGATTAGTATTGTATTAATGTATATCAATTTAATAAATGCTGAAATTATGTCAAACAAATTATCTATAAACGATTAAAAATTGGCATTTTATAATAAAACCATATGCACATTGTAATTGCAGGTAAGAGTTATCTTTCTTGAAAAACTTCACAGTAGTGAAATAGGTAGCCGGTTTCCTGAAGTACAGTAAAATGGATACATGTGGCTCATTGATAAAAAAAACCCACCTGAATTAATACCTGCATTGCTTTGAAATATTTTAATATTAAGAGAAAACACTGTTCTGTCAATAATAAACATACAATATTCATCAGTTTAATATAAAACATTAGAATATGCGGAAATTGTGATACTGTCTCCCTACATCGGATTTTCAACTAGGGATGTACTTCCTACTTCCGTTTATCAATTCACTCCTATGACCTTAAGGACGTGCCTCTATGTGTGTAGTGTATGCGTACGTGTGTGTGTGTGTATGCAGGAGACAGGGTATGTTGGTGTGATTGCCTCCTTGTGATAGCGCGGATCTGATGCCGACTTTAAAGTGCTATCTCACTGAAATGCCATTTCGAAGGCACCACGCACAGCACTCCGCCCGGTCACATGTTGCCATTCTCCTTAATGCTGAAAGTTAAGAAGGGAATAGCAACTACCATTTTAAGGACTTTGGTATGTCCCGGCCTGGGGACAGAACCCATTGCTTTCCTCACCTGGGCGAACGCTTAGCATTCAAGCCAAAAATTAAGTATTGCCAAGCAAGGCGCTAGTAATTAAAAGGTAGCTAGCAGTAAAAATAAAGATAAAGATCCTAAATATTGCAATGGACGCAGCAGATTTATTTTGGTCTCTTTTGTGCCCCCAAATAGAGGACACCAAAGCAAATCCCAAATTCTGCAGGGGGTTCCCACATAAGTCGCCTCCTACGATACATATGCAGTGGGTAACAGCAGGTGTAGTCTTTTCCCGATCCGCCACCTGCACGGGTGCAGGTCTGTGGTGTGTCCGGTTACTCCGGTTTCCCTACCACCAAAACCCGACACATCTTTAAATGACCATATATAGCGGAGAGATATTAGGACGTAAAACACAAACAAACCAATTATATTTTAGCAGTTAACAATTCATTGAAATGCAATTGTAAAAAACAACTGACGACTTTTCAAAATTAAACTAATTACAAGAAATATAAAACCGAGACAAATCATGGGTACAATACAAGATTGAATACTGTGACAACAAAAATGTGCACTATAATGGTAGCAGGAACTGTAGCTCATATTTCAGATACATTGACCCTGCTTTGTTGGATTTTAATGGCTGGCCGTCCTTTCCTAATCTTTCGAATCGGTTTCTCGATCCTGTTTTTTGTGTGTGTTTTGGAAAATAGTCCAACCAACAGGTAGACGTAGACATAGCAGGGGACTGAAAACAATTACTAAATGTGAAACGGTAAGATTCTGTGTTATTTACAACGTACACCACAGGTATATTCACAGACATTCACAGAAAATGTTTTAGATTTATTGCCACCAATAAAATAACTCCATTGGGACGGATGGACGGACGAACTCGTAGCTCTTCTACCTAGGATACAGGAAAGAAAAACAACAAGCAATATTGTTAAAATCCTTTATCAATTGAAACAGTATTTACATATTTATAACATGACATACAATTAAGATATACATCTTGTATGGTAGACGAGTAAAGTGCATATATGTTAAAGTTATACGGTGGTAAAACAGTGGATTATTTTAGTGTCATAATCAAAATCATATCTTATGAAGCTTTCTCCTGACGTTTTACCAGGAAATAATAGACACAAAGACATTTGATTATAGCTGCTTAACCTTCCAGGCATGTTTCCAAATATGAGAAAGACAGACGGTGGAATGAAACCGGAAGAAGATGGAAAGCGGTACGGATATATGGGTAAATATACCCCAAGCTTCCGGTCCGTAAAATTGCAGTTGCACGGGGTTGTGGGCGACGTTCTTGATCTGAAATGTCGTATTTCCCCACATCGTTATGTTACAGAGAAGCAGGAAAGTGACGAACTCTCTTCCCGCCTTTTTTGCCGCATTTATTTGACTTCCGGCGGACATCCCCATTCCCATTATAAGTAACATTGTCTGAAGTGTCGCTTGTACAGTTGCAAAGATGTTTGTAATGATCGTCAACACACCATCGAGTGTGTCAATGACATGAATGCCAGCGAAGATACTAAAGACAGAAAACATGAAAAGTCCACTAAAAGATAACAATGCCAAAACTACCTCCAACTCGTCTGTCAAAGTTCTTGAAAATCTCAAGTGACGCATGCGCCAAACGGCAATGATGGTTGCAATTATCATAAATATGTAGGAGATGTTTTCAATCAGATAAACAATCAAAACGATCATGTGACTCTCATAGCCCGTCTCCGTAACGACACTGAAGAGGATAATTGAAACAACCGATGCAATGAACGTTAAAATTCCCAGAAACAGTCCACGACTGGAGCTTGCGCAGTCAACGCTCATCAGATGTTTGTGAGACACATCACTGTGGTCTGTGGACCTTTTAGAGCCAATGCCGACATTTTGCCACATTACAAAAAATATTCCTGTAAAATAAACGAAAATATTTTGTAGTGTCAAAAGAATATCTATTTTTCGTGGTGTTTGACATGTGAAAACATCTTTTTCAAAATATTCATTAATAGTTTTTAGTTGGAGGTCAATGGTTCTTACACAAACGATGTTATTCTTACATTTAATCTGAATATATTTATTTATTCAAATAAAGCGGCTTGAATAAGCACGAAATGGGAAGTCTGAAGACGACACTTATTCAACAAACCCGCTCAGCTGGTAAGATCTTTCTATGACCTGCATATGACGTATACAAGTACGAACTATATCAAACTTGGAATCGTTGACGAGTTACCATGGTTACCTACCGGCGCAGATGACGCTGTACTCGATAGTGAAAGGGTACAAGTAGGGACTGGCTGACCGCAGAACTTGACCAATCAAGTTACTCCACTGACACGAAAGTTCCGGAAGGGCCGGAAAATACGACAGCTTCATTTCCGAATTTGTCCAAATCTGACTTTCGTTGCGCTCTGTAGAAATGAAAATATTTGATAAGCGTTAAGGAATTTTCTTTGTGATAGATTAAAGGGTAAATGTTATTATTTAACTGCTTTCATTTGACATTCATATTGTCTATGAATGCCAACTGAAAGCAGTTCAATGCTTAATTGTCATTTGCACCATTTAACGGACATATGTTAGCCCAATCACATTTACTACGCCATAAGTGAAAAACGGTAAAGAAATCGTACCTTCTCGCGTTGAATTTAGCCGGGTGTAGTGGTGGGATTTTTGATGGCTGTGTATAGAATGAAGCGTTTCCACGACTATGACTCTGAACCACACACAAACGTTTGTAGCGCTCATGTGCATGAACCCAAACCGGGCGACGGAGGAATGCTGGAGGATGCTCACCTAAACAACAAAATATGGAAGTTGCTTGAAGACGGTCATCTCAGCAACAAATTGTGAGAACGATAAAGGCGCTCACATAAACAAAAAAATGTGAGACTGCCGGAGGTCGTTCACATAAACAAGAATGTATCGCTATGCGGAAAACAATTTGTTAATTTTAATATAGTAAATGTGAAAATTGACCTTTGACCGTTTGTCTCGAATAGCAATTACAAATATACAAATTTGCTTCCTTGACGAGGGAGTATTGTGTACATTGTGGTGACGTTAGACAGGAAGACCCTTTTATCACATACCTGTTGAATCTTGTTATAGTAATACAAGCAGTTTTCAGACCATGAAATACAACGTTCTGTATTGCACATGTGCAATGTGCAATACGGAATGTTGTATTTACCTACTAGACGGAACTACTTTTTTATGGGAATCCACTTGTCATGGCGAACTGAAAAGTACCCGATATTTGCAAAAAATATCAAAGTTTTTAAAATCTTTGTATCGATCTCTACCAAATACGGAAGGTATGTGATAAAAGCAAGACTACACACGTTTTTTTCAACGAATCATTTATTTATTGCGCGGACGTATATATTCGTCCGCGCAATAAATGAGTGCTTTTTGATTCGTTAGAAAAACACAAGTGTGTGGTCTTGCATATGTTTCTAGTCAATATTCATTGTATCAAGTTTGATAAGATTTTACCTGAAGAAACGGTACGGAAACGGAAGTAATCACAATTGATTGAGATCGATCGCCAAAACAACTATGTGCGTACCCACGTATTATACTTACTGTAAAACACATCAGACGAGAGGAATAACATTGAAACATTTCATGAAAAAAATGAACTTACATATTTGAGCAGAGAAGTGTAATTAACACATTTTGAGCGATAAATTATCTTGACATTACAGGATATGAACGTACCTTTGAGTTCCGGAAGAGGAAGAAGAGCTGTGAGAAAGAGAAACAGAACTTGATGGATGGTTTCAGTATCTGAGTGGCGTCCAAGCAGAATCTGTGGTGGTCTCCGATCTCAAAATACTGGCCAAAATACAGTGCATCCAATATCATACTTCCGATGCCAAAACCTGACAGAAAAAATAAACATTGATTTGGTTTGGATTTTATGCTACCTCCCACATTTTACCATTTGCTTTGTGATAGAGTTATCTCCCTTGATATTGTTTTCTTTTGCCTTTATGGTTATGTCGCCATTTTTATATTCATGGATTTGTCAATGTGACGCTTGGTAGTCCGCTTTAAAAGTTACTATGAAAAGCCTTGAATATCTTACCAACAGCTCCCAGACGGAGAAAGAAACTTCCGGTTTCATGCGTTGCGCCTTCAAAACTTATCTTCTTTATGGGTTTTTTAACAACAGTATCGTTTGTGTCCAGTTCGGCATCCCATATTCTCGAACGAACCCATGTACGCATAGAATGAAACCAGAAGGGTACCGGGAGAGGTTCCGACCTCAGCAGGAACACGTAGATAAACAGAAGGAAGGCAAGGCTAGCAGTGTAAACGTAGAGGTAGAAAAACTGAAACGAAAATAACAGAAGGTAAAAAAAAAATCAGAATAGTCTCTTTGTGGATGAATCTAGTACGAACTGAGTCCTTAACACACACAACAGTCGGGAAATGTCGGCACTTTCCGTAGACGAGAAAAATACTTGTGTCGACAGTTCCCGATTGCACTCACAAAAGCGCAATACTTTATTTATCACTCATAGGAGGACAGCGAGGACTACACTCGGGACGTCGTTCCGTGGACCACAGTAGCTGTGACAGCCTGTGCGCATCTGAGGAGCTGTCCGACCTCAGACCGTGACCTGGATCATCCGATGGGCAGGAGTTTTGAATCTCCGAGGGCCCGGTAAGCGACAACTTACACCTCACGTCGACCCACCGACTTCGTCAGTGAGTGTAGACGATAAACACCTCAACCAACCAACCAACAATACCAACCTTATCAGTATATTCTTTTTTCTCTGAGGGATCCGAACATACGGAGTTACACTTACCTCAAACAGGTAATTCTGTCCGGTGTCCGTATGGATAAAAGCCTCGGCGATCGGCAGGACGAGGCCAATTACCACTAGGAGGATTCCGTAAAGTCCGCTCAGGACGATAACAACGTCGTCACGACTGGTCATACGGTCATGGGTCAGAGGACATAGAGAGGTCAAAGAGTTAACATTAAAAATAAATATCTCATGTCAGAGGTCAAACATTAATTAAAACGTCAGTGATAATTTTATTGCAGTAAACAATAAAAGGTCGGGTTTAAATGTTGAAAGATCATCATCATCAAAACCTCAAAGTTTGACAGGTAAAGGTATATTTTTACACACAAAAAAACCCACATAGGAGGTCAGAATATTAACATCAAAATCAAATAACTCAAGGTCAGAAGAGACAAGTTCTGATAGCCAACATGTAAATGCCGAAGAGTAAATATTAAAAGGTCAAAGGGTCAATGAAAAAAAAATATATTTCATATTGCAATAAAGCACAGAAATCATCTGAAATCAACGAAACTATGGACAGGCCGTGTACATATTCGTAGATCCAGGATCATTATAATTTATCAATTTCAGTAATAACGAAATTGACCACAAACATGTAAAAGTTCGAGTAAAACGCTTGTTTGAATTGCCGTTTAAATCGAAGTACAGAATAGTTTTTTTCATAATTATTGTTCTGACACTAATATAAGCAACTTGTGGTATGTATGGAAATTAAAAAAACCATTTGTTATTACTAGAACAATAACAGTATCGCTGACGAGTTAATTCATGAGTGAAATGATGTCAACAATTTTCGGAAACCCATCTTTAAAAGTTACTAAATCTGAATCTAAATGTATTACATACTATGTAACGTTTGTTTCGGTTTTCATACCATTTTGTATGTGCTTACCTGACACCCATTGAGATGACGTCATCTTTTCCGTCATACATCAGATTGTCAAAAGATGTCACTTCTGGTACAACAGTGAGAGGAGCGGCTTCTCCATCGTAATTCGTCACTTCCGGTTCTGTTTGAAGTATAAAGCGATTTCTGAATAAATCTTGTTTACTCTGGGGTTTTTTCCTCGATTTAAAAAAAAAAAATCTTGCTCAAGTTCTCTCAAATAATCAAATATCTTGAAATCTGAGAATCAGTTTGTGTAATAGTTTTATAAGCGGGTTGCACCAGTGATACGCAGGCCGTTTTCATTTAAACAGTCCACCCGGTCGGACCACTGTTGTTCGTTTATTAAATAAGGTCGGACCTAGTAATCTGATGCTGCTTTCAGGCGAGCCTTGACAAAGCCTTGCAAGACCTGCATAAATATTTGCAGGTCCGCCATGATTCATACCCGAAAATGTTACATTTATAAACGGTCAAACCGGTTGTTCCGCAAAAACGAACAGGCCCCTGCAGACTGCGACGATTTTGCCCGATCGTGAGTTTTCCCTTTCCTGACAGTAACGTCCTTGCTTCCCCAGATACGGTTTTTACATATCGCATCTGATTGGTATTTAAGGAGTTGCTTCGAATATCACTATTTCTTTGAAAGATGTCCACGGCTGACGAACAAACTTTCAACATAAGGTTTTGAGAGATACCGGTTGATGACGACTCTCGGCTATATTTATGGTCGCCATTCTGATCTCATCTCGGGAAATTGTTCTTTGCTATATCCTTAAGCGATATGAAAGTCAATTATATTAATTTCGCTCTTTATTGTGGCATGTGGTTTCGTTGTCACTACCCAAGTTTCTTTTTGAACACGTGATATTACTTGACGCTGACCTAGATTTAATTGACATGGCGGGTATCGTCGATGACGCAGAAGACGCTTACCATTCCTGAACACCTGGTCGTATTCTCCTTTTACTTTTCAGTTGCCTCCATGCAAATCATATCGTTTGTTCGTATTTTGCCAAGTTTCATCATTTCTATTTCAACGTATTTTTTCACCCACGGTATCCACTTGTTGCAGTTTTGCGTAACGCATTAAAACTAGCAATCTAAAACCACCGGGAGGCCATCTTTAAAGTTATATAATATATTACCGCTGTTGTGTTTACCTTGTATCTAGGTTAACGCGTCAGTAAGGTATGACAGGTATGATGGTCATGTTATGTACGACTCCGTTTGATGGATACACTTTACCTTGACTGTACGTACTAGTATGTAGTTTGGGGAACGACACCCGACGGCAACATACCGAAATTGCAAGTGTAACACGTTCGGGAGGTCACCCATCCAACTACTGACCACGCTCAAGGTTGCTGAACTAGTGAGCGGGTCCTTTTTTCCGCCAACAATATTGCCTTTAGCAACACATTCTTTTAATTCTCACGTAACGTCAAACACGAAATTAACCTAGATATCATTATCACTTCTAGCAATCAAGGTCTCTGTAGAACATCAAACGCACTTTGATGACATTTTGTGACGCGTTTTCAATTTTTAAGAGTACGAAAAAACTTGTTGCTGCTGCAATAAGATTAACTCTGAACTATTTTTACAAGTAAATGCTATACCAAAGCTTTAAATTTCAAGTCAAATAATTGTTTTTGAATAAGCACTATCAGTTAAAAATCTTGAAGCGAGTAAAAAAAATTGTCTTTAATTTCTGATTAATTTTCCATTATTTTCGTTTTCATGAAGTGATCAGAATAGTTATTTATATATACAAAGTTTCATTATTGAATTTTGTTTTACAAATATGTTTTTTTTTCTCGCTGTGAAAATCTAAACATGCATATTTGCCCCTGTCGTAAACAACCTTGATCTCAAATGAGACAATTATAACATTTACCTCGTGCAACATTTTGTTATATTCACTTGAAGACTCTTTATTAACCGATCAAGAACAACCGATCTTGAATTTATCGGATTTCACTTGTGAATATAGTTCTAATAAGCTGTAACGGAGAATTTAACAAAACATTAAAAATAAAAATAAACCACTGAGATAGTTGTAATTCTCTGATGTATATTTTTCACACATTGTCAACACCTGTTATAACAGTACTGGTAAAACAGATCTGTCACACCTTATAAGTTGACACTAATATTTTTCACGGCTGATGTGGTGTGTGGTTCATTTATACACATCAACTTCACCAAGGCCGCTTCCATTTATCGCGATCCAAACGGTTGGACCGGTTAGACCAGATAATGTTAAATTTAAAAACAGACAAAACGGTTGTTCCGCACAACGGACAGGCCCAAGACTACAGAAACTGGCAACGGCTTTGTTCCCGCTTTACATTAGCATATACATGTATATGCAAAGAATTATATTATATATCTGCATTGTCACAGAGGCGACCGATGGAAAATTTGGCCTCCCCTTAAAACGAAAAGGAGGCATTTATTCAGTCATGAGAGGCGACCAATGTTCATTCTTCTTTGCATTTTCCGAAAAACTCGTTATTCTATAGATTAATAAGGACAAGCACCTCACCCCTTGTAATGAAACCCGAGATTAATATGTTCATATACAAATATACTCAGTAAAATTTGCGCGTCCTTGAACACCGCAACAGCCCAGTTTAACTCCCCGTCACTTTCAACAGAGTGAGGGCCATGGACACCCTTTTTAACAGGACCAAAAGTAGTGTGCTTTCACCGGGGATTGAACCAGAGATCCCGAGCTTTCCCAGTCCATCGCTCTGCCGATTGACCTTAATGATGATTCATATCAAGATACTTTTGAGGTGAAATTGTTAAGGTTTGTTGTTTGTCATGGTTCGAAAACTAATCTTAGAGGTGACTATAAGTATAAATTGGTACGAGACAAACAGAATGATGTCGAACCCCGCTCCCGCGACACACCACATACTTCGTAGTCTCGTTCAACCAGACTCATGTTTGAACGAGACTACACCCTTCGTAATACCACGGACTTCGATCTAATCTAATTCCGTGGTAATACACATGTTTTGTTTTCTTGTTATATTTTGTGTCGTCATTTCCGTATTCCGTATCGGGCATTGCAATGCCGTAAAGTGTAAATCAAAATAACAGCGGGTAAACAATAGTACACGTGCGTGACGATGATATGTCAACACCCGATAATCACACGTACTCCAGAAATAAAAAGCAACCAGACGACTTCAAGAAGGTCATTTTTTTATTTGTAATACAGATGTAGTTCCAAACAATATCACACACCACAAAAATGGAAAATATTTAATAATTTTATTGGTATTTTCCCCCCCAAAAAACACAGTTTAATGGAAGGCTTAGATTTACAGCGAATCTACAAAGTTGCATAACTATGATGTGAATTTTTTAAACGAATTCTGTCGGTTAATTGCGAAAGGGTGGAGCCCCCTAAATCTACTTCCGTCCGTTCATCCACTCAGGGGCCCCAGTTAGGGGGAATTCGTCTAGTTTAGTTCCACGACACCATTTCGAGGACCTCTTACCGATTTCAGTAAAGCAGGCTAGACCTCACGCTGGTCAGCTTGATTTACCGGTCGCTCAAACAGGTTTAACTTCATTGATAAACAAGACGGCTTCGCCAAGGTCCCATTGTGTGGTTATAATTAAGCCATCTAATTTACCTTCCAAAAGGGTAATTGATTTAATTGTTACCTTGTTTCACTCAAAAGCGAATAGGAAATAAGGTGCGAGTCTGGATGTCCCAAAAAGCTAAAACATGTTATAATTTTGTTTACAACACAAATGACATACTACGTTTTTCTATCGTAGGCTACGGGCTGTAGGGTCTGTAATGCATATTTCTCTGCATGCGTTTATCATTTCAGGCTAAAGTAAAAAAAAAATCTTCAACAATTACAACACTCAAGTACAAACTAATTTACGTAGCTAATAGAAATATCGCAGAGAATTACTAAAATAGGGGGAATGAACAACCAATAAACCTTATAAATTTGCAAAACGAAACCGATTCCTCCCGAAGGGTGCATTCTATTTACAAGAAAAACAAACTAAATATTTGTCACCAAATTTTGAACGAATTGCCTACAGCGAATTAATCCTTCAAATACGTTAATGTCTCCATACATACTAAGTGGTTACATACATCTATCTTTCAAGCTATTTTTTTTACATAATAGCCGACAGATGAAATTACAACGGCTCGTTCTCGGTTGATATGTTCATATATTTGCACGTGAAAATCGTGTTCGTTCAGATATGTAAATGAAGCACGTGCGAACCTCGTGCATCTCAGTGTGGTATTTTGATATTGTTGGGTTAAGTCGAAAAATGATTTAAAATTAAACAGTGTTATCCTAATAATCTAATCCCGTTAAATATGTCATAGGGCGGGTGTGACGTTTTGTCAAAAGTAATTGACACGGAAATCTAGACATTTTATCCATTTCATTAATTATTGTCTAAATTTCATGCAACGACTCAAGTAAACTTATATGGTGACATGAATTTTGAAATTTCTGTTTCATTTTGGTCATCTTAAACGTTATCATGCAAGATGACACACTTGAGACCGTGTTATCGTTCCCCCGGGACACCCGTTATAGGCACGTGTTGGCCCTCTCCTAAGGCCGGGACACGTGTTAGAAGTGGTGTTACCCTAGTCCGCTAAAACTGACCATAATCGCAGGCTCAAAAATTCTGATCGGTCGCGTAAACAGGCGACCGATCAGAATTTTTGAGCCTGCGATGTTACCCTTCCGCCGGTTCGCGACACTGGAAGATAATTTCCCGCAATTTAAGTCCACATTAAACATATAGTACGAGTATAATTGATTTGTTGAATACACTACGTTACCTTTCCATGCATCTGTTTCCATCGTGATCCTCTTCTCATCTATTATTCGCTTTCTAAGTTTTTATTGCCGGGCTGGTTAACAAAGTTCAAAGTTCATACAGAAAGGTCAAACAGTGACGCCAAAGGTCAAATGTGATTTGTGCATGCATATATTAAAGTAGAACGTCCCAGCGCCCTGTGGCGTATCTCCGACGAATAAAAAAAAGAGTTCCAATCTGTGCAGTATTTCTCTGATTTGGAGCTGCCTGCTCTTTTGAAATAGTAAAGAGTTAGTATATATATAGGAAATAAATGTATTTTTGTTGTTGTCAGGAAGATAAAGCAATGAGTTTTATCCACTGCGCTTACTAGGATACTATACATTATTTGTTATGAATTTCAAAATGTTCTTATTCTCTAAAACAGTCCCGAGTTATAAATATCTTTATATGTATTAGGAATACAGAGGATGTAATATCTTAATATGGAGGTTAACTTTTCATAAGATACTAAAAAGTGTTTGGACAGATTATTTACAACGTTCTGCTCGCCGCAGATAATATCAAAGAGAGCTGATCGAATCACCAATGCCGCGTTTTAAGACATTTATAAAACAGAACATTGATATATACTTTTCCCGAATTTCAAGGGGTCATGCTCTCTATAGTTTCTTCAAGATTTCTTGGGTCGCGTTCTCTTACTTTCTCTGAAATTTTAGGGATCACGCTCTCTTACGCTCTCTGGAATTCTAGGGATCACGCTCTCTTACGCTCTCTGCAAAGAACGTGTGAGGGCGAAACTTCTGGAATTTGGAGGATGGAAGGCGCATGTCAGAGACTTTAACTCTGTCATGGCATATTCCAAGGGTGCAGAATACGTGAGTGTAACCCTGGACCTTCAAGGATAGGTGGCGCTTACAGACTTATTTTTGTCATTACATTCCAAAAGTGCAGAGCACGCGGCGTGGTCGCCCCGATGCAATTTATAGATGAGTTGTTGTTGATATTTTTTAGTTGTTGCTACAAATGGTGATTGTAAGAGAACGTAAGTGATGAATAGAGGTTCACTGGTGTACGTGGTGGTAAGCAGTTCATTGCTACCCAGTCTTTATAGAGGTTCACTGGTGTACGTGGTGGTAAACAGTTCATTGCTACCCAGTCTTTATAGAGGTTCACTGGTGTACGTGGTGGTAAACAGTTCATTGCTACCCAGTCTTTATAGAGGTTCACTGGTGTACGTGGTGGTAAACAGTTCATTGCTACCCAGTCTTTATAGAGGTTCACTGGTGTACGTGGTGGTAAACAGTTCATTGCTACCCAGTCTTTATAGAGGTTCACTGGTGTACGTGGTGGTAAACAGTTCATTGCTACCCAGTCTTTATAGAGGTTCACTGGTGTACGTGGTGGTAAACAGTTCATTGCTACCCAGTCTTTATAGAGGTTCACTGGTGTACGTGGTGGTAAACAGTTCATTGCTACCCAGTCTTTATAGAGGTTCACTGGTGTACGTGGTGGTAAACAGTTCATTGCTACCCAGTCTTTATAGAGGTTCACTGGTGTACGTGGTGGTAAACAGTTCATTGCTACCCAGTCTTTATAGAGGTTCACTGGTGTACGTGGTGGTAAACAGTTCATTGCTACCCAGTCTTTATAGAGGTTCACTGGTGTACGTGGTGGTAAACAGTTCATTGCTACCCAGTCTTTATAGAGGTTCACTGGTGTACGTGGTGGTAAACAGTTCATTGCTACCCAGTCTTTATAGAGGTTCACTGGTGTACGTGGTGGTAAACAGTTCATTGCTACCCAGTCTTTATAGAGGTTCACTGGTGTACGTGGTGGTAAACAGTTCATTGCTACCCAGTCTTTATAGAGGTTCACTGGTGTACGTGGTGGTAAACAGTTCATTGCTACCCAGTCTTTATAGAGGTTCACTGGTGTACGTGGTGGTAAACAGTTCATTGCTACCCAGTCTTTATAGAGGTTCACTGGTGTACGTGGTGGTAAACAGTTCATTGCTACCCAGTCTTTATAGAGGTTCACTGGTGTACGTGGTGGTAAACAGTTCATTGCTACCCAGTCTTTATAGAGGTTCACTGGTGTACGTGGTGGTAAACAGTTCATTGCTACCCAGTCTTTATAGAGGTTCACTGGTGTACGTGGTGGTAAACAGTTCATTGCTACCCAGTCTTTATAGAGGTTCACTGGTGTACGTGGTGGTAAACAGTTCATTGCTACCCAGTCTTTATAGAGGTTCACTGGTGTACGTGGTGGTAAACAGTTCATTGCTACCCAGTCTTTATAGAGGTTCACTGGTGTACGTGGTGGTAAACAGTTCATTGCTACCCAGTCTTTATAGAGGTTCACTGGTGTACGTGGTGGTAAACAGTTCATTGCTACCCAGTCTTTATAGAGGTTCACTGGTGTACGTGGTGGTAAACAGTTCATTGCTACCCAGTCTTTATAGAGGTTCACTGGTGTACGTGGTGGTAAACAGTTCATTGCTACCCAGTCTTTATAGAGGTTCACTGGTGTACGTGGTGGTAAACAGTTCATTGCTACCCAGTCTTTATAGAGGTTCACTGGTGTACGTGGTGGTAAACAGTTCATTGCTACCCAGTCTTTATAGAGGTTCACTGGTGTACGTGGTGGTAAACAGTTCATTGCTACCCAGTCTTTATAGAGGTTCACTGGTGTACGTGGTGGTAAACAGTTCATTGCTACCCAGTCTTTATAGAGGTTCACTGGTGTACGTGGTGGTAAACAGTTCATTGCTACCCAGTCTTTATAGAGGTTCACTGGTGTACGTGGTGGTAAACAGTTCATTGCTACCCAGTCTTTATAGAGGTTCACTGGTGTACGTGGTGGTAAACAGTTCATTGCTACCCAGTCTTTATAGAGGTTCACTGGTGTACGTGGTGGTAAACAGTTCATTGCTACCCAGTCTTTATAGAGGTTCACTGGTGTACGTGGTGGTAAACAGTTCATTGCTACCCAGTCTTTATAGAGGTTCACTGGTGTACGTGGTGGTAAACAGTTCATTGCTACCCAGTCTTTATAGAGGTTCACTGGTGTACGTGGTGGTAAACAGTTCATTGCTACCCAGTCTTTATAGAGGTTCACTGGTGTACGTGGTGGTAAACAGTTCATTGCTACCCAGTCTTTGTAGAGGTTCACTGGTGTACGTGGTGGTAAACAGTTCATTGCTACCCAGTCTTTATGGAGGTTCAAAATGATGTCATCAGTCCCGTTCACCTATACAGATGTTCAGTGTATCTGGTATTTCACTTGACTTTTTTTCTGTAGAGTTCATGGGTACCGATGCTCATTTAGGTAAAGTCTTCGTGAAAGTTTATTTATAAACAGCCTTCATTGTCAAGTATACTGGACAACGGGAACGGGAGTACCTCAAAGTTTGTCTTAAAGTGTATTTGGCAATTGGGACGGGATTGCCTGAAATCTTGTCATTTGACAATGGGGACGGGATTGCCTGAAATCTTGTCATTTGACAATGGGGACGGGATTGCCTGAAATCTTGTCATTTGGCAATGGGGACAGAATTGCCAGAAATCTTGTCATTTGGCAATGGGGACAGGATTGCCAGAAATCTTGTCATTTGATAACGTGGAATGGAGCATTTGAAATCTTGGTCAGTATTATAGACAACGGGGAATGAAGCATCTGAAATCTTGGTCAGTAGTATAGACAACGGGGAATGAAGCATCTGAAATCTTGGTCAGTATTATAGACAACAGGGAAGGGAGTAACCGGAAACTTGTCCAGTATACTGGACAACAGGGAATATAGTACCAAAATCGTGTCCAGTATTCCTCTAGGGTATATTCATATATATATACGTATTTATTAAACTTTTTTTTGGATAAAAAAAATCAAGAACCTTTTCCTCCATGGTTACCACATCAATATTGAATACTGGTGAATGTCATTGATTGAAAAAAACATATTTGACCTCTGTGATTCTAAATCAAACTTGATAGATCTTCATCCAATCATGCTATTGGCCAAATATCACTCTATGCTTTTTAGCTCACTGCGGCGTCTGTCGTCAACTTTTTCTTTTGAACGAATTCTTCCGAAGAACTGGAGGTCCTAGGGTCGTGCTGTTTGGCAAGAAGATACCTGGGATAGAGTGCCATAGAGTTTCCTCATTTAAATGACCTTGACCTATTACTTTCATGGTAACAGGGGTCAAATATGTTAAAAACTTCAATCAACAATACCCTAAGAACCATTCGGACTAGAGTCATAATACTTTGGTATGTTATGTAGACCAGCTGTGTGAATCTGTTTTTATCATAGTAATGAGGTCAAAGGTGAACTTTAAGTGCTATTCGGGGGTCAAAGGTCAACATGGGTTGAAAGCTTTAACAATCTTCTTCTCAAATTCCATAAGACCCAGGGTCATAATATTTGACCAGTAGGTATATGGGATCGAATGATATAAAGTTTCCTCATTAAAATGACATTAACCTAGTTTCAAGGTCACAGGGGTCAAATATGTTTAAAAACTTCCAACAACAATATCTTAAAAACCATTTGGTCTAGTCATGATACTTGGGTATGTTATGAAGATCAGCTGTGTGAATCTTTTTCTTTATTTCAGAAATGAGGTCAAAGGCCAACTTTAAGTGCTAGTCGGGGGTCAAAGGTCAACATGGGTTGAAAGCTTTAACAATCTTCTTCTCAAATTCCATAAGGCCCAGCGTCATGATATTTGGCGAGTAGTTACCTTGGATGGAGTGCTATAAAGTTTCCTCATTAAAATGACCTTGACCTAGTTTCAATGTCACATGTGTGGAATACGTTAAAAACCTCAAACAACAATATCCTAAGAAAAATTTGGTCTGGAGTTATGATACTTGGGTATGTTATGTAAACCAGATGTGTGAATCTTTTTCTTTATTACAGAAATGAGGTCAAAGGCGAACTTTAAGTGCTAGCCGGAGTCAAAGGTCAACGATGGTTAAAAGCTTTAAAATTGAAATTTCAAATTTCAAACAACAACATCTTTAGAACCGTTTAAAATATGTTGAAATGTCTTGTGTTCTAGTTACCAAATTTGGTATGAAGATACCTTGTTTCATGTAAC